CTTTAAAGTTATTCTGTCATTAAAGTTAAATATCCACGTTTACATCTTATAATTTGTTTTGCTATGTGGGTTTTTTAATGGAATATTTACAGTAATCATATGTATGATAGGGATTAGAACATCAGAATTCTTATTACATTGAAACATACTGAAAGATCTATTGATTGATGTAAAAACAACAGCTGGCTAGTCATTTGGGACATTTTAAAATTTTTGGTTTGTTAAAACCATGTGCTGATTCTGCTTTCATTTCACTTTAATGTGTTGTCCAAAAGAGCTCTTGATGAGTAAAGTATAACTTTTTCTACTTTATTATCTAAGATAAATTTTTGTCAACTTTTGTATTTCAGGGATCCAGAGAAGAACTGGAATAGAAATTGTGTGAAAGGACTTGTGGCTTCTCTGATTAGTGTGAAAGATACTTCTGCAACCACAGCTTTAGAATTAGTGGCTGGAGAACGACTCTACAATGTTGTAGTAGACACAGAAGTAAGTCGATTTTAATTTAAAAAAAATTTTAATTTGGTTAGCTTGAAAAGTCATGTGCTGCTAAAAGAATTGAATACTTTCTTGATGTTTTAAGGCTCTCCCCTAAGGTGACATATTTACAGGGTAAAACTGTTTGGTTCATAACTATTTGGTAACTGTTCCAAAGGAAGGCTCATGCTTACTCAGAAACTCAGAATGCATATTACCAATCTGAAACTTTTGGGATCTCTTTGCTGTATAAGTTGAATTTAATTTGTAAAATAATCTGAGAACAAATGACCTGTTTTTAATGTCAGTCTTCCCATCAAGGTAACATTGAATTTATCTACATTTCTTCAGTTGTCCTTGTTATCCTTCTGTAAAATGCTCATACTCTTTCCTGTAAATGCTACATAGTCATTGTCAAATTTACTTCCTTGTTTTTTTTAAATTTATATCATATATATTTAAAATGTACAAGAAGCCTGGATATGGTGGCTCACACCTGTAATCCCAGCACTTTGGGAGGCCGAGGTGGACAGATCATTTGAGCCCAGGAGTTCAAGACCAGCCTTGGCAACATGGCAAAACCCCATCTCTACTGAAAATACAAAAGTTAGCCAGGCACGGTGGCGTGCACCTGGAGTCCCAGCAACTCTGGAGGCTGAGGCACAAGAATTGCTTGAACTTGGGAGGTGGAGGTTGCAGTAAGCTGAGATCACACCACTGCACTCCTGCCTGGGCAACAGAGCAAGACTGTATCTCTAAAAAAAGAAAAAAACAAATGTACAACGAGATGTTTTGATACATATACATGGTGAAATGGTTATTGTAGTCAAACATATTAACATAGCCATTCATCTTTCGTAGTTACCTTTTTTGTGTGTGATAGCACCTAATATTTACTCTTAGCAAATTTTCAATATACACCATTATTAATTATAGTCCTCATGCTATACATTACATCTCTGAATAGGTAGATTTATTTATCCTACCCAACTGCAAATATGTACCCTTTGACCTGTGACCTACTTCCACCCATTTTCTTTCCCTCCTCATCCCTGATAAACACTATCCTACTCTTTTTATTTGTTCAACTTTTTTTTAAAAGATTCCATGTACAAGTGAGGTCATACAGTATTTTTTTTTCTTTGTCTGATTATGTCACTTAGCATTATGTCTTCTGGGTTTATTCATGTTGTCACAAATGTCAGCATCTCCTTTTTCAAGGTCAAAGGATGTTCCATTGCATATATAATTATAGCTTGATTGTTTGGGATAAATGGCACTAAACATTTGTTATAGACTACTAAACTTGCATTCTCTCAATTTTCTGTCTTTAACGTGCGTTTTTTAAATTCTAATGTGTGTTGTAGGTTACTGGTAAAAAGCTACTCGAAAGGGGGGAACTGAAACGTCGATACACCATAATTCCACTCAATAAAATTTCAGCCAGATGTATTGCACCAGAAACTCTGAGAGTGGCTCAGAATCTTGTAAGTCTTATTTTGTCTTATTTATATGTTTAATCTTCATCTGTGTGGGTGTGTGTGTTTTTTTTAAGTTAGAAGATATTAATTTTGAGGGACATAATCGTATACAGAACCACAAAATTAAAATACAAGAAAATTGGGTTGGCTTGTGCAATTAGATGACAAGAGACTAGAAATGTTGAAAGACTTGAACTCCCTTTCATATACTTCACTTTGTGGTATTAGAATGTCCTTTTTAACCTTAAGTCGCATGACTATCAGGTGATGGTGAAAATTACACTCCTGATTCCTGAATGGTTAGAATTGAGCTTCTAGATAAATACCCCAAATTCTTCAAGTTTTTGTTTTTGTTTCTATGTCAGGCATACTTAAACTGCCCACAGTGACATCCATTATAGGAGGCCTTCATTAGTATTGCAGTGATGCTTCTTTATTAGAGTTCTTCTAGATTGTTATTCAGCCTGTGCAGGTACATAGCAGGTGACCAGGATCCCATTCAACTGCTGACGTTGATCTAAAGTGACATGCTTGCTAGTAAGAAAATAGATCAGCACAAGGAAATACATTTAAAAGTTATTGTAGTTGTGTAATACTGTGAAAACATGAAGTCAGTCATAACATTCAGCTGTAATGTTTTTTTATTGAGCAGACATTCCAAGTACATGAGTTGAAAAGACATTTCTATGAAACTTACAAATATACTTGTAACTAATTGGATGTTGTATCCTTAGTTAAATTCAGAAGATTTCAATGAAAATGATTTCAAAATATAGTTGTGTTGATATGTATACTATCAGGAGAGGGAGGATGAGTGCTGAGTAACTAAAAGGTGGTGTTTTTGGTTGGTACTTTCTTTACTTGAAGAATCACCATTAAGTCCAGAAGGCTCAGGAAGTTAATTCAGCCATACATCAAGTCCCAGCATTAGAAGGAAATTGGGATTTCAAGTAACAGCAAAAATACTTTGCCTCAGATCCCTTAGCCAGACCTATTTGATGGTAGCTGCCACATCAAAGAACAATACTGAACATGTGTTACATAGAGCTTCCTTCGTTGTGATTGCCACTGCTGATACTAAGCTCTAAAAGAGATGCTTATTTTTTCTTAAAATGATGGCAGAGGTAGCGTCTATAAACAAAGGCTGAGAAGCAGCATTGTGATCAAAATAGAGGACTGAGGGATTTTTAAAATTACTTTTACTCTCTCAGTTATTACTTGTGTTTTTATTTCTGTAACTGCAGATGACTGCTCTAGCATGTTTCATTTGTATGAAAAAAATATTTGTTGTGAAGCCAAATTCCTGATTATTGAAACAAAATTTTCTTATAGTTGTGTTGATCTGGGAATTACAGGTTAAGCACTCCAAGTCCAAAAACTGAAATTTTCCAAAAATCAAAACTCTGACACCCAAAAAATGCTCATTGGAGCATTTTGGATTTAGAAAGTTCAACCACTGTAGTACAAATATACCAAAATCTGAAAACTGAAACACTTCTGTTCTAAGCATTTAGGATAAAGGATACTCAATCTGTACCATCATTAAGAAAGTTGTGTCCAGTCAACTTTGATAATGGACACTTAGAAACATGGTGATGGCTCCTTATTGATAGAAACTTTCATAATGCCCAGTACTAGCTATTAATAAATATTTTACTTAGCAATAGATCTTTCAGTATTTAAACCTGCAATTTTTTTTCCTGAAACTTTGGGTTTTACATAGCTTTTTAGAAAGTTCAGAAAGAATTTTAATGCTAGGTAAGTATTACTTAAGTTTCCATTACAGCAGTTCTTACTAGTTTATAAAATAATACCTGAAAGGAAAAGAACTAGTATGTACTGTGGTGTATCTATTGTTGTCCCACAGGTTGGCCCTGACAGCGTTCGTGTGGCTCTTTCCCTGGTTGAATATAAACCAGAACTTCAGAAAGCAATGGAGTTTGTCTTTGGAACAACATTTGTTTGTGACAATATGGATAATGCCAAAAAAGTGGCCTTTGATAAGAGGATAATGACTAGAACTGTAACTCTCGGAGGGGATGTGTTTGATCCGCATGGGACATTGAGTGGAGGTAAGTTTTATATCCTTTTGTCCTCACAATTCTTTGTGGTAAATAGGAAGAGGCCTTTTTTAAGTACATTTTTAGCCCAACTACCCACTTCTTCAGGAAACATGTTAACTTCTCATTTGTGTGTTTGCCAGTGCCGCCTACCTCCTGTCAAAAGTAAAACAAAAAGTAAACCTGCTCTGGAAATGGTACCTTAATGTCTTAAAGGAATTCTTAGACAGTGATCATGTTCTTCTTGGTCTAGTATTTGCCACACTGAGTTTGCAGATCTTTGTCAAGACAATAGAATAACAAACACTGAATATGTTTACTATATACCAATGTTCTGCAACTATGCTGTCCAATACAGTAGCCACTAGCCATATGTGACTCTTTACATTTAATTAAGTTAAATAAAAGTAATTTCCTTGGTTGCATTAGTCACATTTCAAGAGCCCATAACCACAAATGATTAATGGATAATTAGACAATGCAGATATAGAACATGTCTATCATTCTATAAAACCGTATTCTATGGGCTTTAAATAAGAATTAATTCTTAGTAACAATGATGAGGTAGGCATGGTATTATCATCTCTAATATACAGTTGCAGAAATGAAGATACAGAGTGGTTAAATAACTCACTACAGGGTGGCAGAGCTCAGAATTTGAATCCCAGCAGTCTGATTTCAGGGTTTGTGTTTTTAACCCAGTAAACGGCATAAAGCCATTTGAGGTATCAAGTGACTTAATGTCTTTCTAAGCCACGAAAACAATAGCCAGTTCAATGATTTCCATGACCAAGTATTAGGTTCTCCAGTACACAGTCAAATGAGTAGTATCTGCAAATGGAAGATAAAAAGAGACTATGTGTTTTTACATGTCTACAAGGGAAGAAACTTTTTAGATTTTATTGATTCCGATGCTTTTGAAGTTTTTACTTACAGGATAGGAAATAACCCCATATCTTAATTACCAAGTGTTTAAACAGCATTTTTAATTGACCTTAGCATTCTTCCATCAAATCTGCAGAGTTTCTTTGTCAACATAATACCTCAGCCTGTCACTGCCAGATAATTATAGTTCTATAATGTGAAATCGGTTTATTCTACTTGCTGCGCTGTGTCAGAACTTAGGTCAGCCCCCCAGTCTTAGCTTACAACAAGTTTATTTCATGTGAATGCTATATCTGCTGCAGATCAGTTGCCTTTCTGCTCAGTGCTGTTCTCATTCTGGGACTCATTGTGAAGGAGAAGCAGTCTCTGTCTTGAACAGAGACTCATGGCAAACGGAAAGCAAATGGTAAATTATGTACTGCCTCCTAAAGCTTACTTTCAGAAGGGACACATTTCTCCATTTCATTGGCCAGAGCAAATCACGTAGGCAAGTCCAATGTCAGAGGCTGGAAGATGCGCCCAGTAGACAAGGCAGTGGTTATTTTGAATAAATAATACCTACTACAACCTCTTGGATCTGTTATGAGTTCTCTGTGTTCTAAGATTCAGGTGATGGAATGAATTCCATGGCTTCAAAAGCTTACTAAAATATTTACTATTGAATATCGATTTGAGTGCAATTGTCTTAGAAGACTTTTTATTGTGTAGTGTATACCTGGTAACTCAATGTGGAAGATCTGTTTGAATTTGCCTCTATCAGGTGCTCGATCCCAGGCGGCTTCTATTTTAACCAAGTTTCAAGAACTCAAAGATGTTCAGGATGAACTGAGAATCAAAGAGAATGAGCTGCGGGCTCTAGAGGAGGAATTAGCAGGTCTTAAAAACACTGCTGAAAAGTAAGAACTGTATATACATTTTCTAAATTAAAGATTTGCATAGTAGAAAATGATAGAAAATTTACTTTTATTTGCAGAAATACAGCTTCTGACTTTTCTCATATTTTTGGTTTATTTAAAATAATTAAATTGTGAGTTGATAACCATTTATCCATTTTTTTCTCATAAGAGAGATGTCTTTGTTAAGAAATTAGCAAAATCTATTTAAGCAAAACAATCATTCAAATATTCCATTCTTTCTGCTGAGAAATACACTAGCACTTGGCTAGGGTTGGTGGGGAAACCCTTAGATACTCTGGTGTCTGATACCAGAGGTTACTTGATTTCCTGATTTGACGTTAAAATGATAGAGTATAGCATTGATCAGGTGCCCACAGTAAGTTTAATAGCATTGTGACTGTCCTTCCTATATCAAGGATCTGCTGGGTTGCCTATGAGCAGGTAAACAAGTTCATGTCGAATATCAGTACTGTGTTTCCTTACAGTATTTCTTCTGTATAGGTACGGATAAGATACATAAATACTTTCCAACATCGTTTCCATTTAGTATAATAGAGTTATATGTGTATTTTTATTTTTTCAATATTGGGATCATGCTAATGTAACCTTTTTGTGTCACTCAGTAAACATTTACTGAGTGCTCCCTGTGTGCCACATATTCTTCTAGGGGCTGGGGATCAGATAAGTATCCCTGCCTTCATCTAGTTTTTCTTGTTGGAGAAGCAGACAATAAAGAAAGATAAATTGGTAAAACGTGTTACTAGTTCTAAGAAGAAAAAAGTAAATCAGGAAAGGAGATAGGAACTGTCTAGGGCAAAGACATGTTAAGATTTTATATTGGGTGACCAAGAAAAGCCTCACTGAGGACATGATTGTTGAGTAAACACACGAGTGAGTGAGTGAACAAGAGTGAGTGAACTGGCTCTGTGGTTATCTGGGAGAATAAGTCCCCACTTGAATTGAAAGCTTCATGAGTTAAAAGAGCTACAAACTTAACAAAGTGCATCGTTTGAAAGTTTGGCCAGGCCTAGTGGTGCACACCTGTAATCCCAGCACTTTGGGAGGCTGAAGCAGGTGGATCACTTGAGCTCAGGAGTTCAAGACCAGCTTGAGCAACATGGAGAAACCCTGTCTCCATTAAAAATGCAAAAAAGTTAGCCAGGCGTGGTGGCATGTGCCTGTGGTCGCAGCTACTCAGGAGGCTGAGGTAGGTGGATTGCTGGAGCCCTGCAGTTCAAGGTTGCTGTGAGCTGAGATTGTGCCACTGCACTCTATCCTTGGGGACAGAGTGAGACCCTGTCTCAAAAAAAAAAATTTTTTTTTTTAAGTTTAATTGTAATTTTTTCCAGTATTTCTGAAGATGACAAATAGGGACTGATTTAAAAAGATTTTATTCAGAATTCGCAATACTGAATACAATTTAAAAAATCTAAATAAATGTTGAAATGATTATTTCTGGGTAGTTTTTAGCATTCAAATTCTGTAGTTATGAAAGCTTAGAATGGCACCAAGACTTTTGAGGACGCTAAATATGGACAAGATTTTCATAGTCAGGGTGACCATTCAGAGATACAAATTGAATCAAAGTTTTTCTGTTTTCTTTTTCTTTTTTTTTTTTTTTTGAGATGGAGTCTCACTCTGTCACCCAGGCTGGAGTGCAGTGGCCCGATCTCGACTCACTGCAACCTCTGCCTCAGCCTCCCAAGTAGCTGCGATTACAGGCGCGTGCCACCACACTGGCTAATTTTTGTATTTTTAGTAGAGATGGAGTTTCACCATGTTGGTCAGGTTGGTCTCGAACTCCTGGCCTCAAGTGTTCTATCCTGTTTACTTTCAAACATCACATACATGTAAAGGCCTGCATTTTACCTTCATGAATATAAATTAACCATAGAGTAAATGAATTATTTTCTGTGAGAAGAGTAAAACAAAACTTTTCTGTGATATGTGGAAGCACTAACAAGGTGATGAGTTTGTAGTTAGTTACATTTGGCTTAGAACTGTTAATTTTGTTCAGTAGTATTGGATCATTTGTTCTGCAGAATTGAATTCTTTCCTAATTGTGTCACTGAGGTCAAGGAAGGAAAATAGATTTTGAAAAAAATGAGAATGGTGGAAGGATCAGCTAAAGCCATTGTTTCACACCATATCAGGAAAGTAACATCTTTTAAACAAATATTTCTATACTCCACGTTTTTAAATTAACTTGAAGTTAAAATTATTAAGTACTGTCAAGTATAGCTTCAGGCAGGAATACTCAAGGTAGTATTTGTATTTTATAAGTTTTGTTTTTTTTTTTTCCTCAAACCTCATGAATTTCTAGTGACAAGGTACTTTGTGAATTTATATTAACTTGAAATTTCACTGCAACTGAATTAGCTAAATACCTTTGAAAGAAATGAGTAAGCAGCCAGAATTGGGATTGAATTACAAAGTTTTCAAGAAGGTGCGTTTTAAAACAACTAAGTTCAAAACTATTTTTCTTACACTAAAGGTAGGGAACATTATTATTAACATTTGAAAATGAGGTTAATAATTAAATTTTTGAAATTTTATGTAATTGTTATAATTAATCATTTTTTGTGGTGAGTAGTTTTTTTTTTTTTTTTAGTTAGCAAGAGGGATTATTTTTAAGGAAACCTAGCTGTTAAATATTTCTAGTGTAAATAGTTACTGTGGATTTTAGTCATTTAGAGTTATTTACCTTCAATGACCATATCTAAATTTGAATTAATTGGTACCTCAGAAACTTGAAAGTCATCAAAATTATTCCTGTAACCAGTAGCATCTTATATGGTTTATAATGTATATGAGTTTATTTTAGGTAAGAATCTGAAGTTTGAATGTATTTCTCAAGTACCAGAGAAATTACAGTCATTTCTTACGTGTTTCTGTTTTTGTAAGGTATCGCCAACTAAAACAGCAGTGGGAGATGAAAACTGAAGAGGCAGATTTATTACAAACCAAGCTCCAGCAAAGCTCATATCACAAGCAACAGGAAGAATTAGATGCCCTTAAAAAAACCATTGGTAAGATGAAAACAGCCCATGCTTAATCTCTGGTTTTATTCATATCTGTTACCTTACCTTGGGTATCTTCTCTACCTGTGCTATGTTTAAGATACATATGATAAAGTTTACTTAGGGAAAATCCAAGTATGGGATTTCTAGGTCTTAGGGTATGGTTATTTTCATCTTTATTATATATTGTCAAAGGTCTGTTCATTTCTACCAATGTTCATTTCCACCAGTGGCATATGAAAGTTTTCATTTCTCCAAGTTCTTTTTTTTCTCCAGACTTTTAAAATTTTCCAAATCTGTTGGTTGTGAAAAGATAGCATGCATTGGCATTTATTTTGCATTTCCCTAATTTCTGTTGGAATTTGGGATCTTTTTTGTATGTTCATTGGACCTTTGGGTTTATACTTCTGTAAATTTTCTATTTATTTCTTTTGCCCATGGGTTGCTCATGGTTTTTTCCCCACTGTTCTCATTCTTAAGAGTCCTAATTTCTTGTAGGTTATGTGCATTGCAAATATCCTTCTACTGTCTTTTTTGGCTATGTACTGGTCTTTTAATTTTGTGTTCATAATATTTTTGTTATACAAAAGTTTTTATCTCCACTAATATTTTAATAGTATTTTCCGCAATGAAAAGTAGCATAAGAAATTGTGCGGTAACGACTTCCAAGGTTATTTGCACCTGGGTCCCAACACTAACAGTATGCTTCGGTTGTTACAGCAACACGTGTTCATTCAGTATTGCTCTCTTATTTATTCATTTATTTATTTATTTTTTGAGATGGAGTCTCTCTGTGTCCCCAGACTGGAGTGCAGTGGCGCAATCTCAGCTCACTGCAACCTCCGCCTCCCGGGTTCAAGCACCGTCCTCAGCCTCCTGAGTTGCAGGGACTACAGGCGTGCAGCACCACACCCAGTTAATTTTTGTATTTTTAGTAGAGATAAGGTTTCACCATGTTGGTCAGGATGGTCTTGATCTCTTGACCTCATGATCCGCACTCCTTGGCCTCCCAAAGTGCTGGGATTACACAGGCGTGAACTACCACACCTGGCCTTATTTTTTTCTTTCACAAATTTGGGGATGTTTTTCCTTTGCTGTATCCTACTGTCAATTTGTTTGTCAACTTTAATGAGAAGTTCCCTGAATATGTATAAAATAGGCAAAGAACATAAAGTAAGCTTGTTTATGAAATTATACACTTTCTAGCAACTACAGGAAAAATACCATAGTTATACTGTTCTGGTGTTAGGAAGCATACAGTTGCATTAAAAATATGATCTGTGTTTTGTTTTGTTTTTTTAAAATAGGTTGCTTCAATACCTTTGTAAAAGAATAGTTGTAGGTGAAGTTCAATTTCATAGCAGAAGAAATGATTTCATTACAGATTTTTAGATAATTCAAATATGACTTTTAGGTAGGATCTGTGTTTCATTATACCATTTCTAGAATATCATTGGGATAGTTAATTTTCTTAAATTGTAGCCTGTAATTTTCCAAACCATTTCTTCCATTAAAAGTTGAATTTGTAAACCTTTACCTGTAACTGTTAATTTAGCAACATTTGCCTACTTTGTGATGCAGAGGAAAGTGAGGAGATTTTGAAAAACACTGAAGAAATCCAAAGAAAAGCCGAAGAAAAATATGAAGTATTGGAAAATAAAATGAAAAATGCAGAAGCTGAGAGAGAGCGAGAACTGAAGGATGCTCAGAAAAAACTGGATTGTGCCAAAACAAAGGCAGATGCATCTAGCAAGAAGATGAAAGAAAAACAACAGGTAATAACTTCTTTTTGAAATTGAACCAACCTTTTAAAGTCAACATAGAGCTGAAGGTGGTAGAGCATCATTGGTTGACCTTAGTCATCAGAGTTGATCTCAGAATCTAAAAGGGAGCAGTGTTCTTTGGAAGCAAATTATGCTTCTCACAAGTCAAAGGAATATACAGGATGAGCATCTCAAATCCGAAATACAGCAGAGTTAGAAACTTTTTGAGTGTTGATCTGAGGCTCAAAGGAAATGTTCATTGGAGCAGATTTGATTTGGGATACTCAATTGGTCAGTATAATGCAAATATTCCAAAATCTAAAAAAAAAAATCCGAAGTCTGAAACACTTCTGGTCCTACACATTTTGGATAAGGGATATTTAATCTGTATTTTTCTCTGAAAACAGTGCAGTCTAGTATTTCATAGTTGTGAGTAGGGGATGCTAATTTTAAGGAAAGGCCGAAGTTGACCATTGGTAAATGCTTCCTTCAAGAGCGGATGGCCTTTCTTCAGGAGTGGATTATTTGATACTGTGTATGTCATATCAGAGATTCAGCAAGTTGACATTTTTATTTGGTAAGCACCTAAATGAATGTGCACTGTGAGAACATGATGGAAGACAAAGCATGTTATATTTACAAGGTGTCATTCAGTTGTAAACTGATGATACTTTATTATATCTTTTAGCTAATATCAAAGCTGGAATTTGAACCTAGGTTTTTAATCACTTTTATGTGATTTCACCTAAATATATTTCCCTCACATTTTTTTTAGCCCACTCTAAGACTTATTAAATAGCTGTGCAAAGTATTTTCTAATGCAGGGGTCCCCAACGCCCAGACCACAGACCAGTAACACAGGAGGTGTATGGCAGGCAAATGAGGATTACTGCCTGAGCTCCACCTCCTGTCAGATCAGCAGTGGTATTAGATTTTCATAGGATTGCAGACCCTTTTGTGAACTGTGCATTCAAGGGATCTAAGTTTCATATTCCTTATGAGAATCTAATGCCTGATGATCTGAGATGGGGTGGTTTTATCCCGAAACCATGCTGTCTCCCTGCCCGTACCATATGGAAAAATCATCTTCCACAAATCTGGTCCTTGGTGCCAAAAAGGTTGGGGACTGCTCTTCTAATGAAATGAAGGCTACAGTGGGAAAGAATAATATTGAGAAACTTTTTACACATTGAACAGTTTTGTTTTTAAACTTTACTTCCACTAATTCATCTGTTATGTAGAATATTATATTGTTTTCCCTGTAGGAATAAATGATAAAGGATATAATTTATGCAGAGTTCTTTCAGCCTATACAAATTACACTTTTTTTTTTAATATGGGAAAATAAACTTCCTTTTTCTGGGGAAGCAGCTTAACCTGTACTTTTGGTAGCTGAGTGGTAACAAAGCTGTGGGTCTTACTTGCATGAGATTATTTATTTAATTTTCCTGTACATACTTGTTTTTGAGTAGTTAATCACCTATGTGAATACCCGAATACTGTGTTTTTTACAGGAAGTTGAAGCTATCACTCTGGAACTGGAAGAGCTCAAGAGAGAGCATACATCTTACAAACAACAGCTTGAAGCTGTAAATGAAGCTATCAAATCCTATGAAAGTCAGATTGAAGTAATGGCAGCTGAGGTGGCTAAAAATAAGGTAGGATTTGTTTATCAAATTGGAGAAGCTGAAAATGATAATCTTTTTATGAAACATTAGCTTAAGATGTTTGACTTTGGTGTTCTCAGTCTTTTCACTCATTGTCATGAGAGAATGAGGCACAAATAGCTTTTACTCATCCAGAATTGCCAGTTTGGGGATCTCATAGTTCAGTCAGCTTCTAGCAGTCTCTCTTCTTCCTCACCCAGTTGATTCCAACTACATTACATCCAGCAGAAACGCTTTCATTTGCAGCATGAGCATTGTACCCCAACCCTTTTTCCAGGGGTAATCCAAGTTTTCTTCTGTGTATAAATTCATTAGTCCTTTTAATGGTGATATAAAATAGAGGGTTAGGTGATCTTCTCTCTGCCTGTAATCACATTGACATCTTGCCCAGGGATCTGTCAGATAATTGTTTAGTAAATTAAAATTATTTACATGTTACCTCACCACATATTTTCTTTTATTTTTTGTTTTAGGAGTCAGTAAATAAAGCTCAAGAAGAAGTGACCAAGCAAAAAGAGGTAATAACAGCCCAAGACACTGTAATTAAAGCTAAATATGCAGAAGTGGCAAAACACAAGGAGCAAAACAATGATTCTCAGCTTAAAATTAAGGAATTAGACCACAACATCAGCAAACATAAACGGGAGGCTGAAGATGGTGCTGCAAAGGTATGTTTGTGTTCATTTTTTATACTTAATCAAATTTTTGTTACTAAGCTCTTGAAAAATTTTAGAAAACTGCTTGATGGAGAAATCTGTAAATATAAATGGCAAAATTACAGCCTGACGTAAATTTGAGCTTGCAGCTATTAACTGCTTTTCAACAATGCTAATTTTCAACAAATTGCACAAATGTTTTATTTTTAGATTTAATTTTAGATATTTGTTCCCATCTACAAGATGTAGTTACCAAATGTTTAGTGGTCTCCCGTGGAAATAACTTTTTACCTCCAAATGTTGATAGAACTAATTACTGATGTGCTAGTAATAATGATGTGTATTCTGTACCTTATTTCAAATTGAATTTAAAGAACTCACAGAACTATATATAGAGGTAACCTAAAAAAAGGACTGAATTGGCTTCCACATGTCTTTATGAGTGTCACTGCTGTCAGTATTTGCCACTTTATAAAAATCTGATGTTTTGCCAAGCAGCTATGTTTTTGAGGTTACCCCACAGTTTCCTTCTTTCATGTGTCACAGCGCCTTTAACTTCAGTAGTTTAAAGAGAACACATGCTTTTGCAGAAATTCATTGCTTGGTTGAGAAGCTGCATTCACATGGTGTTAATAATTCATCCAGCATGTTTTCTTATGAGTGTGTAACAATTTGGCACCTCTTTAATGTCCAGGATATTTTTTTTTTAAGCATCCTAAAAATACATGAACTTTAACTTCAGAAAGATCAAGAACATACAAAACAATCTTCCCCTCTTCTGAAAGAACTGTGGAACTTGGTTTAAAAAACATTTTTTATGGCTACATTATAATCTCCCACTTTATTACTATTGATTTCCCATTAGCTTAGTGATAGTGAACTGACTGAAATACTACCAATGGCAATGTTACTGCTAATAGTATTTTGGTAACTGAAAATGCTAGTACTGGTGATTGCTAGGAGATTTTATTTACAATTGAAAGAGTAAAAGGAGGGACTTGCAAGTGGGTCTGCTAAGCAATGCTTCTTTGAAAAACATAGTTTATCAAAGATTTATACATGCCTACTAGTATCAGATCCTGTGCCAGGCACTGACAATATAAGGATGAGCAACACATATACAGAATGAATGATATAGAATGCTTTCAAAGAGTTTACAGGTCAAGAGGAAGATAGACTTGAAATGATAATTCTACTTGGGGGCCTACATTTGAGACCATATCCATGGAATTAATACAAGTCAACAAATTAACAAGGATTGGATTCTGCCAGTGAGAATGAATCAATTCTAGTAGAAGAAAGTCTTCTTTAAGCACTGTAATTTGAACTGTATAATCAATTGTATTACATGAAGTATTATATTGTGCCTTTTTCAGAGGGG